ATTTTCATAAGATAATATTTTCATAATTGAATTCAAATAAATATAAGAATATAGAAAATGACAATAAAAAATAATTTTATTAAAACGTTTCGTTTTATTTGTATTAAAAAAAATTAATCATCGTTATTAGAAAACTTTTAACCGAAAACTTGATCACTTTGTGCATATATTTTTCATTATTTATAAACATTTGCAATAAATTCTGTAAATATTTGTATTTTCTAAAATTTTAATTACTTTTATTTAATATTATAAACATTTCTTTGATAAAATTTTATTATAGTGGCTGATTCCAAAAAACAAAGTCAATTTCTTTTCAATGAAATGGCAATCTTGTTTTGCTAAGTTTTGACGTTTGCAAAATTTTGTTTTTATTCAAAATATTCAAAATTTTTGAATTGTGGTTATATTTTGCAACTTAAAATATTGTTATTGTATGTAAAATTTTTAGAAATGTCTAGAAAGCGCGTTTACAATAGAAAATGTAAGTATTTATTTTATTAATTTTATTTATATTTTACATGAATAAACGTATTTCTTAATTATAGGGGATAACGCAATGGTGGAGGCGTTCATTCAGGCTCGCATAGGGCTGGAAGACGTGTTTGTTCAGAAGCGAACAAATATTAGGGAATGTTGGGAGTAAGTTATTCAAATTATTAATTATAAAAATTATTATTAACAATAATACCAACATAATTTAATGTTAATAAGTCCAGTTTTTCCAAAATAAATCAACTTTATTAATTTACGAAATTTTTAGATTGTTTCCTATGTTGCCATTAAATATATATTAAAAAATAAATTTTTATTTTACAGGCTCGTTGGTGAGCGATGTGGATCCAATGATGATTGGACCGCCCTTAAAAAACGGTGGTTCAATTTATTGGGAAAATACAAGGTAAATGAATTTGTTTTGAATATGACAATATAATAATAATACTTTATTTTTTAGAGTCTCAGAAATCCACCGACAGGTAAAGGCGGCGAAGGCGCTGACAATGCAATAAATTGGCCGTTTTATGGCCAACTTCATGAGTATTGCAGTCAGCGCCACAATTTCAATCCACCTGTTGTAATTAACAGTGAAGGGAATCCAAGGATTGAAACTGAATTCGCATCACCTTTGGCTTCATCGCAGTATACCGCATCCTCACACCCTGCTTCACAGCCGTCTTCATCTCACCCTGCTTCACAGCCGTCTTCATCACACACTGCTTCACAGCCATCTTCATCCGGCCGAAATTCGCCTTCATCCAGCAGGGGGCCAACGAGGCGAAATTTTATAGTCTCCTTCAATAAAAACGGACAAGGCGATAAGGAAGGCAGCACGGGCCATTACTCACTATATTTCGGCTGCCACACAAATCGAATTCCAATCGTCCGATTCTGAGTAAGGGCCCTATTAGTTGTAAGATAGCTTTTAAGTAGTTTTAATAAATATTATAAGTAGCTTTAATTAATTATAAGATAGCTTTTAAGTAGTTTTAATAAATATTATAAGTTTAAGTTTATAAGTTTATATATTATAAGTTTATAAGCTTTTAAGTAGTTTTAATAAATATTATAAGTAGCTTTAATTAATTATAGGATAGCTTTTAAGTAGTTTTAATAAATATTATAAGTAGCTTTAATTAATTATAAGATAGCTTTAAGTAATTAATTTTAAATAAATTTTTCTAACTAAAAAAAATAAGTGTATTTAAAATATCTTTAATACATGTATATACATGTATATATATATATATACATGCATTTAATAAAATAGGTTTTTTTTATTAAAATTTATAACTCAATTACATATGAATGTTGTTTGCAATTTCATCGCGCATAGAAATTGCATCAATATTTTCATTCTCAGTAGCAACTCCTTCATAATGACAATCCTCCACGATGTTATTTACTTCAATCAGATCAAGTCCATCATTCAGGCATATATTATGCATAATGCATGCCACAGCTATTGTTTGAACACAGTGTTCAAGATTTAACCTAAGAACTTTATCAAAAATTGAGCGCCAACGTATTTTCAATGCACCAAATGTACATTCAATAACAGTACGAGCCTTACTATGAAGCTCGTTAAATTTCTTTTGTCTTGCTGTTAACGGCTGCAATCTTTTATATGGAGTGAGAATTGCTATTGGACTAGTCCGACAACAGTATCCACTATCGCCTAGCAGGTAGTAGCCTGGTGGAGGAAAATTTTGCAAATTAAATAATTCACTGCTTTGTAGAACCCGCTCATCGTGCACCGATCCTGGGAAACCAACACAAATAGATAAAAATTCCTTATTACTGGAACATACAGCTTGTAAATTGATTGATGTAAATGACTTTCGGTTCATGTATTGATCACGAAGTCGTACAGGCACAGCTATTGGTATATGTGTTCCATCTATGGCACCTAATGCACGATTGAAAATTGTAGTACCGGCTCGTTGGTTAAATTTTGTAGAAATGCTTTCACACTCACTTTCAGCTGGATATTTAATAACCGATGACTTTAATGAAAGGAACCCTTTCAAGCACTTGTAAACAATATCCCGCACAGTATATCTCGAAATTCCAAACGAAGCTCCTGTTACACGATAGCTTGCACCACAGCCAAGCCAATATAAAAATACAGTAATAATAAACCGGTCATTCCATCCCGTTTTAGTATTTAAAAACCTTGCACCGTAATTGAAAACTCTTTCCAATGCTATTACTGTAAGCCTTAAATGTTTTCTTATGATTGAATTATCTTTCTCCACAACAGCTCTAAATATTGCCGAATTATATCCATTTTGGCATAAAAGCTCGCGCTAAATAGTCAAACTGATAATTTATGTTATTTACTGAAATTATTTTATAATTACCTTTGGATATTCTTTTAAGAATCTCTCTTTCAATTTATTATGCTGACTATATAATTCCATTAATTTGCCAAATTGCGCAAATAAAAATACTTTATCGATTTCTGCGTTCTCTGCCATCGCAAAATATGTAACAAAAGTATTGAAGTCAAAATATGATGCTAAACCAAATGGGAGATTTTTTGGGATTTTTTGCACTGCACACATTTTGCACTGCACCATTTATCAACACGTATCGACACATCAATACATTATCGACACAACTTAGAATTTCCTTCATCCTATTTTTGGAGATTTTAACAGCATTGATGTTGCTTCACATGTTTTCACACGAAAGTTGGGAGTATTTTTTTGCTACTCTAAAAGAAAAACTACGACTAATAATAATTATAATAATAAATTAAAAAGTATTAATAAAAATAATTTTTTTAATACAAACCAATATATGATTGTTTTTAATCTTTTGTATGTTTCCATGAATAAACATGAATTAAATATATTTTTAAAACAAATACATACAAAAAAAAAACCAAACAAAAAAAATTTGTTTAGCCTCTATAACGAAGTGTTTTGCAGGTAAAGACGACTTCGGTTAGAGGTTAGACTGTATTTGCTTTTCGAACTTTACTTAGTGTACTGTTGGTTTAGAGTTCTTTTTAACAAAAATACAAAACAGTACACTATAGGCCTATTCAGTAGGTCACAAGTATGGCAAATAACAGCAAGTTGCTGGCCTATACTGGCCGAAATGTCACAAAACAACAACACTATGTTTTCTATTTCGGCCAGTATAGGTATACACATCGGCCAGTAAAAAAATAGTGTTTCCAACGCAATAAGGGAACTATTGTGAAGCTTCGTTGGAAATTCTAACGAATATTTCAATCATATTTTAAAAATCATATGTAAACAAAGACTCAAACAAAATTTAAAAGTTTTATAAATTTGAAAATTGGGAAAAAACAAAAATTTCAGTTTTTTGTTTTGAAACTTACATTTTTACAATTTCTTTTAATTCTGTATTCATAATGTACACATATGCAAAAAGGTATACACAAGTATTATACTTTACTAAAATTTAAACATAGCAGACATAAATATAGCAAGTATTAACAAACTATTGTACTGCAACTCCAAAAGAGAGTGACTTGACGTTATCATGGTAAGATCCATTATCCAAAATCGTGTGCCGTAACAATAAAAAAAATAAAATTTCATAGCAATTTCTCTTCGTTACGCTTAAGATGAGCGGAGTTTCCGATCATTGCTTTCGATTCATCTTGCTTTTCATTCTTTGGCCATGAAAAAAAAACTTGAAATTGCCATAACTATTCGTCATATGACTGCGGTTACATTGTATTTAAATTAACAGTTCTGTTTTATTTATTTTGAAAGCAGATTGTATACTGTATTTAGCGGAAAATTTGTTACAACACTGTTTATTCATTTTCCTTATTATCCTTAATCAATGAAATAAACAAATTGCAATATATTTTCATTTCCACCTTCGATTTCTCATGAACAGATGAATTTCAAACAAATTTTTTTGTTTAATCAAATGTTCGCACGAGAGAGACAACACATCGCGCGAATAGTTCTTAGCTACCAGCTACCACACACATATGGCTACCTACATTTCACACGCATGACAAAATTCGCATGCAATGTGACCGCACCTTAACATGGTCCTAATCAAGTTGCTGTTTTTGAATGCAATCAGTTATATGATAAAACGCTGTATGCGAGCTCGAGTAAATTGAGGTAAAGTAAATTGAGGTAAAGTAAATTGAAATTTCCTAGGGATTTTTTGAACTGCACTTATGTAAATATTTATTTATTACACTTATTTATTATTTTTAGTTAAAATTTCCAAATTTTATTTATTAAACATATTATAAAATTTTCACAATGGTAACACCTAATTTATCTAATTTTTATCTGATTTACCCTACTTGAAATTCTGTTAAATACCAACATTCGCTGCCATACCGACATAATTTATTATTTCCCTCATGGCCTATGACATGAATTTATCTTAACATAAATAAAAAATTTTTATGTAAACAACATAAACTTATATTTCAATTACGATAAATAATTAAAAAACAATAATTATGATAAAAATTACTGAGAAAATTTATCATTTTTGCGTTTTTCATTACAATTTGAGGTATATTGGATAAAAAGTAAGTACTTTTATTTTTAGTTCACAGCAGCGTTTCCGTTCTTCTGCGGTGTTCTTTGCTATTAATTTGACATGTCAATAGAATTGAATTTAGTCAGTTTGTTTTGCTTTTGTTCGTTTGTGGCTGTTGCCCGTTAAGCTATTTTGCAAATAAACCGACAATAGCTCTATAACAAGTGTTTTGTGATGCATATTTTGTGTCTTAGGAAAATAGCAGTTTTGAATCAAATAATCGTACAAGATAAATAAACAATACCTTTAAAATATATAAAGCAAAATATTATTGCGACTCAAGTTCACAGACAAATATAAGAATTTGAATTAAATTTGTAAGTAAATGTTAAGAAATCCTTCTACAATTTCATCATAACATATTCGAAACATATCCGTAGAGATATGACAACAAAAACGGTTCGTCAGCAAAGTCAACAGCAACAATTGAATGCGGAAAATGGTCTCTATCCTCAGGTGCCAATTGAACGACATACACAACGCCCTCCGACCTGTCGGCAGGACACTATTGATATGGAGCAGATACCGCTAAATCGAACGCTTTCACAACAAGATTCCGAGGAAAAGCGCAAAATTCGTTCAATTTTCGACAGCGTAAGTGACGAAAAAATTTATGTAAACCGCATAAGAATGACTCACTGATTAGCAATCATTATCTTAACGTTTTTAATCAAACTTTACCTTGCCCTTCATCCTCGTATTACTATTCGTCCATAAAGTGTAGTGCACTCAGGGGGAAGATAATATCTATAAAATTTTACATTATTAATTTTTTAACTTTTTAATCTCTTGATGAGTGAATTGAACTATTTTCTCTATATTTAAGCTAAATTTTGACAAAATGTTCTAACATTTTTCGTATTGAATGGCGATTTATTGTGCACTTTCTCAAAATAACCGGTTGCTTTCACAAAAAATATACAAATACATACAAAACTCTCTGTTGTGTTCGCGAGCAAAAGGTTTTAACACGTATTTATAACAAAAATTTTAATTAATATTTTAATTAAGAAAACATAATTTTACGCACAAAATATTACCAATTGATCACATATTTTGTTCTATATGAATTCTAACACTTTAGAAAGGCCTCAGAGTATTTCGTAGTAAGCTTCAGTATTTTTTGAGGTGAAATAATTTGCAAGAATATGTTAAAATATTTATATCTGTAAATAATTCTATTGACTAATATTAATAATATGTATACACACTATATATGTATGTATATTGTAATTAATTCAAATATTTAAATGCTTAATATATAAATATATGTATATTGTATTTCGAATATAAAATATAAATTCAAATATTGAAATATTTTAAGGCTGGAATAGAAGTGAAAAATATAAAAATAATTCTGAAAACCAACTTAATGTGACACAATGTCTCTATTTATAATTAATTTACCCGTTTTCGTATTAAAATTTAATTAATTAAAAAATATTACATTTTTCTACCTCTGCCTGTCTATCTCCTTTTACCCTATTACTTCAGGTTTTTTTTTGTGGTAAATAAATAGTTAATGCTGTTAAGGTTCATCTGATATAAATTTTATATTTTTTTTCCTCAAAGAATGTTTTAAAAAGAAAAATTATTTTTGTTTGTATTTACAATCAGTTAAGTGAAATCTGTGAATACAATTCAAATTTTTTTTTTTTAAGATATTGGTCTTGTGATTTATGATATTTTAAATGTAAATGCATACTTATAACTTTGTATAATTTATTAAATCACGATAAAAGTTTATTTCATTGAAAATAAAGTATTAAACTTATTTTATTTAAATATAAAGCATTTAACATATCTTGATTTTCTGAATCTTTCCTTAAAATGCTTTTTGCTGAGCAAAACAAGGCAACAAACTTGAAATTAAAATCCATATAAGGTAAGTTAACTCTATGTTTTAATTAACCCGTCCTTTTGTAGAATAATATAAACAACATGAGATGAAAAGCAATGTAAAATGAACAATTATTTTAGAAATCATCGATTAATACAAGTGCGTTCTCTGATTTTTCAGTTTAAAGCTAAATTAGTTGCCATAAACGTTGCATACGTAGAAAAATGTAAACGACAGAACGCATAAAAAGTTATTAGTTATGGCAGAGTTTACACAACGCAACGCAACGCAAAACAAAATAAAAACATCAACAACTCAAGTTGAATTCGAAGAACAAATGTCATGTGATTGCTTAATGTTTGTTTCAGCTGATATAATTTCCATTCAAAAACCATTTATCTCTGATCTTATTAAGAGTAGATACTCTTATTTGTGAAATTAAGCACCGAGTTCTGTCATAAAATTTTATTTATTGCAACATTTTTTATGAGACGGATTGAATAGGTAACACTAATGTCCCTTTTACCCTGTTTTAGGTCTGCTATGTAATACTCGTAGATATATAAGTTAAATGGGTTTGATTGAAATTAATGAATTAATGATTAATATGCAAAATGTTTATGCACTTTTCTCAGTTATTAATATTGTTGCGTACGTTTTTTTTTTTCATAAATCGACGTAGTCGTTCGCGATCGCTGGATACCGATAAATAATTAAATAGTCGGCTCTAGTTTTAAATAACCGTTTTTACTGTTCTCAATTTTATCAAATGCAAATACACAATTTCCTTTAATAATAAAACGTAATACAATCTTATTTCCAAACTAAACTAACATTCTTAAGGCCATGTTATGCAGAGTGTCTCAGGCACGGTACGCTCTTTCGGGCTATGCCTGTTATGCAGAGTGTCACATCAGTATTGCCAATTTCGTATTTTTACAATGTTTTGATACTTTTTGGCTGTGCCTAAATTTGAAAGGAAATTTAGATATGCATACTTTCAATTTGCCATTAAAAATAACTAGCAAGAAAAAACTCATAGAGGCTGTAATAATGTTACAATAATTGTTAACAGTATTTACGCCTGTCTTTAAAACTGGAAAGTGTAATAATTATATTATTAGCGATTTATAAAAAGAGGCTGTGTTGCTTACTGCCATTTTTTCTCCAAAACGTATTAGAATTGTAGTAATTTGCTCCTAAAAGGCGCAAAATTTGAAATTTATTACTTAACAACACTGTTTTGCCTTTGCCTTTGCATTGAAAACAACAACAATTGTACTCATGCCGTGCCCGAGACACTGCATAACATGTCCCTTAGTAAACTAATTCTAAGATTGCTTAGATTCCATATTCACAGCAATATATTTTTTATATGCGGAAAATAATTTAAAAGATGTAATTCGTTAAAAGCTACGATTTTGCTAGTAGTTTAATTCAAAATTAAATGCTGTTTCTATTAAAATTAAATTCTGCTTAATGTTATGTTGAAAAATGTTGGTTTACATCTGATCAGATTAATTTGAAGCAATCAACCGACAAGGATTCGATTTCGGGGAGGTTATTCTTAATTCTGACAGAGGTAGTAATGTCGCTAAACATAATATAAGTTATAGGTTTTGCTGGGATACTAAATTCAGACATATCGGCATATAGAATGGTTCTCGTCGTAGTGTTAAAAGCGGTTTTGAAATCGACAAATTGATGGCTTATGTCATTTTTTTCTAGGGGTCTTCTTTAGGATTTGAATTACCGTGAATAGTATGTTTAAAAGAGCTTTATACTGATCTCGCGATAATTAGCGCAGTTTGTAGGATCAACTTTGGTAAAGCCTTAGACATCTATCACCAGATTTCCATTTTTATCTTTGCAAGCATTGACTCCGGATTTATAATTGTCAGGCACTTGATTTTTTTGTAAAATTGTCGAGCCAGTTTCTTAAGTTTTCCGTACTGCCGTCTTTCTGCTTCCTTCTTTCTTTGCCTGAACAGACTTTTTTCTTCCCTTCTCTTTTTTTCGATATCGTTCTTTAGCAGTGTATTACTTTCACCCAACCTTTACCGTTCCAATTCTTATATCTGACAAATATTTCGTTTTTCCTTTTTCTCATGGTTGCATTTTTATTTGAATACCAGATAACCCGGCAAACGTTGTTTTGCCATATAAATTATTTCTAGTGATTATTTTTTTAAAGTAAAAGATACGAATGTATTGTAAATGTGTGTGGATGGGTTCTATGATAGAAATAGGAATTGAACGCAGTAGATGACGACCCCCGATAAAAACAAAAAAAAACACCATTCACTTGTTTTCCTAATTCAATGTATTTCATTAAAGTAACGTACATATTTATTATTTAATCTCTTAAAAGTGTTTAATATTTATGCAATATCCGTTTTGTCGCATTTAATCTACGCAAATCCTCTTCAGCTGTCGTTTTATCAGGATTGATAACGATAGCGTGATTGTCACTTTAATAATTCAATAATCCATGTATCTTCATGCGTGCCGATGAGCAAGCCGTTCAGTGGTTCTGTTGATCTCTCATTTCTCGTAGTTGCATTTTTCCTGATACGCAACACGTCCCGGCTGATACTTGTTTGATTTTGAGAGTATGACAATAAGAGCATAAGAGCATTTTTTATTAAAAAAATCAATTAAGCGGTATGAAATATACTTTACGGCCTATCCTCATACCTACCAAACATATAAGTTTTATGAAAATCGGTCGAGCTGTTTCGGAGGAGTTTAAACACTAACACGAGTCTTTTATACATTAGATTTCGTTGACTGTAAACAAATAGATGGATTTTGTTAGTTAAAAACAAATTTATTTACTTTTGAGTTCGGATCAAAGTATAAACATACTTCATACTTCTCGATTTTGATAAAAAAGCAAGATAGGTAAATTATTGTAATTGATAGCTCGTGTTTTTGTTAATTTGAATGTTTGGTAAAAAAACCACAACAAGGCAACCTTGTGGAGGTTGTTGTTGTTGTAATATTTGATTGTTTGACAAAATAGGCTTTTTTTGTAAGCATGGCTCAAAAGAACAACATAAAATAAGCACTACTTTTGATGGTAACTTTGGAAGAACCGTAATAAAATTTAAAGTTAAAGTTTCGAAAATGAATAATTTTTTGCAATTATGGGTAAGAATAATTTATATTTTAAATGACTATGAATATAATTTGTGTTTTCAGGCTTTTATAATACTTAAGTATTATTTGTCAAATATTTGTACGTACTTCCAAAAATTGTTCACAATACACGAATTTTTAGTCTTGGCAACCATGCGATTTGATCTACTAACTAGTTGAGCAGTTTCAAAAAGGGTGGACTAAATAAGCCAAAAGTGTTTGTTGGCTTGGTTGTTTTTTTGTGATATGCTTACAAAAGAAAAGGTCTAATAATATACACACAGTAGAAGAAGTTTGCATAACTTTTCTAATTTTTACTCAAATTGATTTTTGTTTTCTGATTTATTTTAACCAAAGAAACTACATTGAATTTCCAACATAAAAAATTAACAGTTATTTAAAAAAAAAATCAAACACAATTATATGCAAAAGCAACAATTTTTGAAGCAGAAGAAGTCTGCGGTCACTTCTTAATATTTAGATATAACTTTAATTTAAATTCGCTTGCAACCATAAATGTGTCCTTAAATGTTGTCTCCCTAAAGAGTCTAAAAATTAATCATTCAAAAATATTTTTTTATATAAATAGTACATTTTTTTTTAATGGAAAATAAAAGACGTGAAATTAGTGTAAGTGAATGACAGATAAATGTTAAATTTTGGAAAGATGACGTAAGCCAACGAAAAATTGCTAAAGATATTGGTAATTACGTGTCTAAACCTCGCACTAGCCGCCTCTCAATTCTATCAAATAGAGAAAGACGTAGCATACTCAACCAGATGAAAGTGTAAGAGTAACAGAGTAACAGCCTTCAAACTAGCTGAACATATTGCCGAAATACTTGAAAAAAAATATATGTCCTGATAATATGCGGAAAATTTTGAAGAAAAGCAAGTATTATACTCGGATTACATATCCAGATAAAATATAATAAAATGATTTAGCTTTACAAGAGAGCATGTAAATAAATCTATAGAGTTCTGGAAAAGAGTTATTTTCTCCGATGAGAATTGGAATTTGGAATCAAAGATAGAAAACTTGTGTGAAGAAACATGGTGATGGAGGCGTAATAGTTTGGGGGTGTATAGCAAGTAATGGTGCTGGCAAACACCATCACCATATTTAGTATACATATATACTAAAAACAAATTTGAAAGAAAATGACAGAATTTTATAGTTTGAGATATTTTTCTTTCAGCAGACACAACGACTCTAAGCGATCGTACGGATTTGGCTGCTAAACCGTACTCCCAGGCAACTGCAAATACTACCAAAATCAGGAGACCTTAGTCCCATAGAACATCTGTGTGTTTATTTGGAAAATCAGATTCGCCAGCACATGATTTCCAGCAAGGATATGTTAAGAAACGTCATCAAGCAAGAATGGCTAAAAATAAACGCACAGAATACTGCAAAAATGGTTGTATTCATGCAAAGAGGTTATTAAACGCAGAGGGAGGTATCCTACAGGCTCATAAATTTAAGATTTCTATAAATTTTAATTGTTTTAATCTAAATATTAAGAAGTGAACGCAGACATTTTCTACTGTTCGCACAAACTTTTCAAGTAAAAATCTAGTAAAACTGATAGAACAGATACTAAAAATAATAAATATTAAAACTTACAACTTATTCACAAAAATATGGTTCACGCCAATAAAATATTGGTTCTCGCCCGTGCGACTAGTGGAGTAAAATTAGCATGACTTTCTCAGCATTACGTTCCTAGATTAGGTTCTATACATAAGAAAGAACAAATCATGCAACAAATAATGCCTCTACGAATAGAATAGTTTTGAAATTTAACAATTAAAAATAAAAAATATAATTAATTAATTAATTCAATTATTCTACAGCTGGTTTATGATTTCGTTCTAATATATAAATACAGCAAGTAAAATTGTTAATAACAAAAACTCCACCAAAAATATGCGAACAAAAAAGTCAAGTACGGCTTTGGATCAGTTGGTTAAGGTGCGCTGATTCTGAGCTTCACATTTGGCAGGACCCGAGTTCGATTCCTGGTACTTGCAGTCTCAAAAATAATTATTTACGAATAATTAAATACAAGAATTATTTCCAAGACCACTGATGAAGGGTATTTGGCAATACTCGAAACAGCGTATGGTCAGCCAAAAATTCAATTAATTAAAATAATTTAAAAAATAAATTTTTGTTGTTGTTTCACTTCTGTTCGAAAACCTCTTTATATAAATATTTAAAAAAAAAGCAGCAATAAAAAGTTGTCTGAATGCAGTTGTCATTCTAACAAGATTCATCCCTTATATAATGTATTTTATATTTTTCAAAAATATTTATGGTGCCTTTTTTTATTTTAAAATATCAAAATAATTATGTTTGCCGTAAAAACATAAAAATCCAAAATGTGTATTACTTTCAAACAAAACCAAAAAAAAAGTGCACGCCAGGCTATTTATTTTTAAAAATAGTAAAATAAAACGCTCTTCTGTGTATTGTAATTGTTTTTGTAGTCTCATATAAAATGTATAAAACGGTTGGTGTAGGTAAAGAGATAATTCGTTTTTTTTGTGATTGCAAATCCGATCTTGTATTCGTATTAAAAATTAATAAATTTTACTAATTTTATAAATTTATATATTTTTGATAAATTTTATAAATTGTGTGAATAAAATCGGTAATTATGAAAATTATAAGATTCAAAAATAAGTTACACACAAATAGTTTAATTTTTATATTTGAAAAATGATGATTTACAGTAGTTGTAGTTCACTTTTTTAATTTTTTTTTAATTGATAATAATACTCCCCCCTGAGGTATAAGTAAATCATACTTCGAAACGTTGGCGATAGTTATATATATTATTATATTATATAAATTATAATAACATTTTATTTTTTTTCACTTCAGCCTTTTGTCATTTAAAAAAATAAAAAATAATTATCGCGAGTTAAAATAAAAAGCAGATTGTATGAGTTATTTGTGCGTGGAAAAGTTAAATACTTATTTTTGAATAATATAATATATATATATAAACTTTCTCTCTCTACTGCTGCTTTTCTACTGCTTCTTTATATATATATATATTTTAAAAGGTCTTATTTTTTGATAATACCTGTTACGGTCCCTGAGTGAGAATAATACTGACGGTTTCGTCAAATCAAATTGATTGTAATGCACAAAATTGAAATTTTTTTATAATTTTAATGTGTTGGTGTGGTGCGAGTTAAGCACAACAGGAAATGCTGTTCCTATTTTTTAATTTCCTTTTATTTTCAGCATGATTCTGATAGTGATGGTTTTATTAACATACACGAACTTAAAGGCCTGATTGAAGCCGGTTTTTGCCGAGATATACCGCAATATATTGCAGTTCAGATTTTAAAAAAATCTGATGACGACAACAATGGACAATTGGATTTTGAGGAGTTTTATCGTATGTCACTACAACATAAGTGGATATTTCGAAATGTACTAGCTCGTTACTGCCGTTTGGTGGTTCCTCCACCAAAGCCATTAGAAGGCGATGAACCTGGTAAGTATATATATAGAATAATCCCAATAATCCACACAAGTAGAAAACAAGGATTACATTTTGTTTAAAATATGCACTGTATTAGAATATAAAAGGTATTACACAATTTATATGATTCAAATTCATATATGTTTACTCATTTCAGATGGAGCGTACGAGAAGCAAATGTCAATATGCCCACCACCATTGACTATGGTTATATTTTCTTTAGTAGAAATTATTATGTTTTTAATTGATGTCATACATTTTCAGTGAGTAGAATTTTTTCAATGTAATCCAAATTTTTAATTTTAAAGAATGTTTTTAGTTATAAGGATTATTCTGCGGTGAAGCTTTGATAAAGTTAATAATTTTTTTGTTTTTATGATGTAACATCTTTCAGTGCATTATATTATGTTAATTTCTAAATTAGAATTGGTGATCTGGAATCAAGTTTTTTCTGCTTTCGATGGTCATTATTTATGTTAGTAAAAGTTTTCTCAGCTACTTGAAAAAAATCAAAATAACTGAACGAGCTCATACTGTGCAGTTCATTTTTCGGGAGCGGACTCTGATTATTTGTAGGATTGGCCACTATAATTGCCATATAAACTGTTCAGCCGGATAGGAATTTTCTCCGTTTTTAAAAAACATGTTCAAATAAAATTTGGTGTAGAATATTCATATAATAGAATATTCAAAGTTTTATGAATATCGGTCCATATTTAGATATAACTGACGTATAAACCACCGACTTAGAGGCAGGTTTTTGTTAGAAAATTTTTTTAATTTCTAATGCTTGTACTTCAAATTTTGGAACTTAAGTATAATTTATAGCATAAAACGACCGAAATGAATTGAATTGAAGCTGACGGAAGTTGTCGTATCGTAATGGAACAACATCGAATTTTAGATTTAACGATAACTTTAAAAAGTCATAGCTAACAAAATATAAGCATACCTAGATGTAAATACACGTCAAAAGATTCACAGTGAGTCTTGTTAATGGTGATTGCAGCGTAATCGAAGGAAATTAGCGTAGCGTAGCTAAGGCTTTCAAAACAGTGTCGATAGACTTGTAAGTGACTTGCCTTAGTAGGCAATGTTGGGAAATAATTTATCATCAACCAATTCCTCATTTAATGTTCTCAGGCAATAAAGTTTGTCTTAAGGTCAGACCAATGGGCACATTTTCGTTCCTAATTGAACGCAGCAATTGAAGTAAGAATATCTCAGCCGATCGATCGTTTTGTATCGTTTTGTAACATATGTTATATTGCATCCGCTAGTGTTGATTGAGGAATTACAGGCAACATTTGTCTAAAATCTTCTGTAGCATACAATATACTGACCCTATTATTCTTACTTTTGTTTTACTCATGTTGTTGTTTCTCGATATTGGCTTGACGTAGTATTTGTCGCTGAACAAGCACAGTTATTTATTTTAAATTGCTTATATGTGATATTTTCTGTCATGTTAACATGTTTTTTTTCCGTGTGTGTAGTGGATAAAGATGCTTATAGCTTTTAAAATTATTACTACCCGTTTCAATATAAAAGGACACAGGTCGTGATCTCCTTATTGTATGTAGATTTAAATTCATAATTAAATGAGTGCTTTTTTGCACTTACATTACTTTTCATTTTAATTAGAATGAAATTTTTTATTTTAGGGATGATCCTACCAACAACAAAAATATTGGAGAAAGTACAAATGGTCCTGCTGCAACGCTCTTCATTTATAATCCGTATAAACGTTTCGAGGCTTGGCGTTTTGTCAGTTACATGTTTGTCCATGTGGGAATTATGCATCTTTTTATGAATTTAGTGATACAAATATTTCTGGGTGTTGCTTTGGAGCTAGTACATCATTGGTGGCGGGTTGCGTTAGTTTATTTAGCGGGTGTGGCAGCAGGTTCGATGGGTACATCGTTAACGAGTCCGCGAATATTTTTGGCTGGTGCATCCGGTGGAGTTTATGCATTAATAACCGCTCACATCGCTACAATTATTATGGTACAAATGAATTGTAGAGAATATGTAGTATTCATTTGAATTAATAATTCATTTATTTTTTATAGAATTGGAAAGAAATGGAGTATGCTATTGTGCAACTATTTGTGTTTTTAATTTTTTGTTTTACTGATTTGGGCACATCTATTTATCGTCATATAACGGACCAACATGACCAAATCGGTTATATGGCTCATTTATCTGGTGCTGTTGCAGGCTTACTTGTTGGAATAGGTGTATTGCGTAATCTGGAAGTACGTCGTTGGGAGCGTATTGTATGGTGGATTGCTGTAATTTTTTATTTTGCTCTTATGATGACTGGTATTTTGATACACATTCTTGTACCAGACTATTTCCCCAAACAAGAGTATAATTAAGCGCTGTATTTTTAATATATACAACTACATTTTTGTATGGTTAAGTAAGATTTTTTGACAACGACATAGTAAATGATACTATTAAAAATATGTTATTTTATGCAGTGAACGAAAATATACTGTAAAGTATCAAACATAGTGTACTGTTTTGTATTTTTGTTAATAAAAATGACATGAATAATACACTAAATAAAGTTCGAAACACATCAAAAAATTCTTAGTGAACATACTATAAAATTATAGTGTACTGTCTCCGACAGCTCATGTAAAATTTGGTGAACTTTTTAACGATATCTTTACGAAGGTAGGGTATTTTTGATGTCTATTGCAAACCGTTTTGGAAATGTTTTAAATGTGCATTGTTGCTGTTTGGTTTGTATAAGAAGAAAAATTTTATTTGCATTGCATGTATTTTGTTTATGTTCTTAAATAAAGATATTGTACATGCATTCATGAATGCATATTTAATATTAGGTGATGTATTACACAGATATAATATTTTATTTCGGATGGGTGATTTATTAATACTAATAAAAAAAACCTGGGAATATAAACTAACATAATATAGTAAAATGGAATGTAAAAAACAACACAAAGACGATTTTATTTATATATTTTTATAGATTTTAAAAAATTCAATAAATGCATATGTTATATCTTTCTTTATAAACATAAACAAAATACATACAAAATTCTACTTGTTATGCAAACAAAACAACAACAATGCACATTAGAAGCATTTTCAAAACGTTTTTTGTGTCGATAGACCCTCAAAATACACTACCTTCGTGAAATGATCGCTAAGATAAGTTGACTTGACTACCTTCATGAAAACAACACTAACGAGAATATTAAAAATTGTACATGATATGTCGGAAACAGTACACTATTTTAGTATTTTGGACACAAACAAAAATTTTTTTAAATGTTTCGGACATGAGCAGTACACTACGATACTGTACAGTTTATTTTCGTCCACGGATTTAATGTTAATAAATATAAGTTATTAGCTCACGCACATACACACTAAAGTGGCCTTAAAAATTCAGTGTTTCATAAAAATGAATATATATTTATAGTTTTGAATAGTTTTACAATAAATTTAAATGTTAAATTTGTAACTCCAATTTTGACTATATACCTGAAGTATCTTACCATCTCTTACTAAGAATGTATGTATTTATGTACATACAAATATGTATGAGAAATAACCGCTGTTTATCGGCATGGGTTGGTGTGAAGTCAAGGCACCGATCAATTTTTGTTGTTGAGAATTTAAATTGCAAATTGTAAGAATTTGTAAAATAAATTTTAAATCATGCTCATATAAATATAAAACTATATTATAACTTTACAAATTTCATAACTAAGATTGTACTTTGAACTCATTAGTTCAGCGCAGTTATTAATGATGCAGATTAAGATTGATTAAGATTATACAGCATAATTATATTATAAGTATTTTCGCACAAAATATGCAATAAACTTTTTTATTCTTTTTAAAATATAAGCACTATTTTTTACTTAAAAATGAATAAAATCTGCCTATGACTATCAGAGGGGGCTTTAAGATTCCTATTTTGTGTGACGGCAACAACTATATTTACTATATATTGTATACAAATGAATTTATGCGACAGCTTCTAGTCTCTTCCTGGCTTCGCGATATGCATGCATAACGTCATCTAATGTCATACCACATGCTCGATTAATGCATGGTTCAAGTAATTCGCAATTGCGCTGTGTGATACGTTGACAGCAAAAACTTAGAGTACCGGTGCTCAACATTTTGCATCTATAACGACAATGGAACTCCGATTGTGTTTCTGTGAAGTATTTTACGAACTCAAACTTCTGCCTGCCACCAATGAAATATCGATTAAAAGTGTCAAGCCAAGTGATTTCCGCTGGGCGCTGACATTGCAGTTGTAGTGCATCCAAACCGGGACTTAGATAAGTAGCATAATGTGTGTAGCCCTCAACGCGTTCTCGCTCTAACCAATCAATTGAGATGACTTCAAAATAAATGTGCAGTAAGTTGGTGGGAGTAAAAGTCTCGTCACAGAGTAATGTCAATTGCAAAGATACACCAAAGTGGTACTCACCGGCAAATAAGCGACTAGACGAGGAAGAATGCGTGCTACCGCTTAATATGTTACTATTTCCTTCCAAGCTGGTATTTGGTGGTAAACGTATGTAGTAACGCACATGTAAGTTATTATATTCGAAGCCTTTAGCATTCTGTATGTCAAGCAGTAACATAACGCGCTTACTATGCTTTGGTGGCATTGAGAACTGTTCGGCTAATGTGGTTTTTCTGTGCCAATCCATGTCTATCTCTGGTAAATATATTGATGGTGGAATATACTTGATTTGGCGACATTTTGAAATATTTTTGCATGAGAACGCATATAAATGCCGATAATCTGTATTAATTTCAATGATGTGGGGGGTCCCCTCAAAGTTGTTAAAGTCAGGATAGACGTGAAGAAGACGTTCCTGGTCGTTCCATTTCAAAACTAACAACTGTATATCGGGATCTAAAGATGCGAAAATGTACATCGTCTCCATTGCACTATCTCCTAAAGTAGATTTGATTGACCCTTTCCGTTTATGCTCTTCACTTTGATCGAAATTGTCCGCTTGAACGTAAGTAAAGATCTGATGTTTTTTTTCGATAGCCTCATTTCTAATACTTCTCTGTTTTCTTTCTTGTATCTTTTTTCCTTGTCGTTTACTTTTATGCTTCTTAATACTTTCACAACCCAATTCGTCATCTGAAACGAGTGATGTACGTTTTATCAATTCGTTATATTTTGTTGTTGTTTCGTTTTTGCAATTGTTTATGTTCTTGTACAGTTCAATTTCCCTTCGGCTTAAAATTTTTTCCTGCCACTTAATATTAATGATCTTCTCATTTTCTTTGTCAGATATCAGAAATTCATTAGTGCTGCTCTGTTTATTTAGGTTATAATTTTTATTTATTTCAAGTTTGGGAAGCTTCAGCAGTGAATTGACGTGCCAAAAATGTAAACGGAGTTCTAAGTGTTCAATACTGTCTTTAATGTGATATGTCCCTGAGTGCTTGTAGGATTTATGATACATTTTGTGTTTTTGAAAATATGTTTTTTATATTGATTGAAATCCTTAGTTTGTTTATTATACGTCGCATCAAATTGCTATGGTAACGAACCAATTTTAAAGTTCTAATATAAGATTAACGCCATCTTGCGGTCAGTAGGCCAATACAATGTTGCCATATCCACGTTAAAAGGTTACAATTAAAATTGCAAGTCAATCACATTTACATCAAATATTTTTTTCAATTTATATATAAAGGTCGTAATAACTTTGTACTTAATAATCTTTATTTGCTGTTGATCTTTTAGTCATTATAAAAATCACATTAACAGCGTTTTATGGTATATAAAATACGAACTTGTCTGTTGGCGAAACACAACTGCTCAAAGAAGCGAGCCCTTCACTTAAGCCTAATCGACCCCATCAGGCACAAATCCCTTGGAACCTCTCCATCATTTTGGCCCCCACTCCTGATCGCGTTAAAATTTGCGGTGTGTCAATCGCACCAGCTGAGAGCACTATTTCTTCGTTCACTTGTACTGTGTATTCCCGTTTGTCATTTAACACGAAAGTAATCCCAGTTGCTTTTTTTCAGCAATGTTTCATATCTGCCTGTCGTATTACACTCAAGTTTTTGCCGTTGTCTGAATGCGATTGAGCTATAGTTATACGTCTACCGCCATCTTGAGCGCTCAATACATTAATTTGTCCCACCCAGGAGCTTTCTGTAAACTCAGTGGTACTATTATAACCCATTTCGTTCATTGTTGCACGTATTATTGATCGAAAGGCATTATCCGAAGCATAACTAATTATGCCCATTGGTCAACTTTTATAGTAGTATAGTCTTCAACTTTACGGAAATATGGTAGCACATCGTCATAACTCCAATTTGGATTACCACGATCACGCCAATCATCAAATTATCCACGTGTACCATTTACATAGATTATAGCATTGACATAATTTATTCTACCTAACATTTTGCCACGCGGTCAATGACAACTTTCACCTTGCATAGCTATGCAAGCTTTATCATTTGAATAGAAGGATTGCCATCAGCTTCTAGTAACACTACATCCAATTTGGATTTTTCACTTAAACGTCCTGCTGCAACTGATCCAAATGTACCACAGCCGATTTATACCTAAACTTATAGTCTAAACTAATAGTCTTTTTTCATTTTTTTTCTTCTCCTTCTTTTTTTTTTATATATATATAATCTGAATCACTCTTCTTTCTTATATTTCTTTCTTCTCTTTCTTATTATATTACTTCTGGCCTTTTTGTTCTCTTCACCGTCATTACTCCTGAACATCCACCGGAACTTTTTCTTCGATCCAACCATTCAACACAAACACAAACTCGAACTCGAGACTCAAACTATCCTATTAACAAAACTAAACTACTTTTTCTGAAAGAAATGTCTGATGTTATTCCTGTCAGTTTTGCCGTGTTGCTACGATTTGATATTTTCCAAACCAAATTCGTCACAATATCATTACATTTTTGTAATTGCACTTCAGAGTAGAGTAAGATGTCCGTTTCATTTCTACTTAAGTTCACTTAAGTTCTGATTGTACCGACTGATTGCACATATTGTTATCATCCTGATATAAGTATCTCTACAGACATTTTTTCGGTTAGTTTAATAACTGAGAGGCTAGTGTATTGATATCCAGGGAGTAAAAATGCTAAATATAAAAAGCCATTGGATTTTGATGTATTTATATCGCAGTGGTTTAAATATAATTTATATTCCACTTTATATTATATCAGAGAGGTAAAATATATTTTAAATGTGTTATTTATTATTGAATGTGTTATCAGCTGCCAGGTAATTTATATGCAGAGAGAGTTGGCAAATATTCTACTACTTGCTGGGATCTTACGCAAAAGTAAGAGTTTACCAAGGTCAACAATTATTCCAGGAAGTATGACACTTCCTGTTCTTTATTTTTTTCTTTGTTAAATATTGATAATAATCTACTCGTATTTGTATTTTTTTTTAATTGTTTAAAAAGTTTGTCATCACAATTTTTATTATTAAATTAAAATATTTTTAGATACTGCTAAAGCTGGCAAATACCAACGAAACATTGTGTTAAAAAGATTTAATAAAAATCATTTTTATTTGTTTTGAAAATAAGACCGGAATAGTCTAAAATAATAGACGGAACTATTTAACATAATAAACTGGTCAAACATTACTAACAATAATACAATTACATTTTCGATTTTTTTTTTCAATAATAAAAATGTTTATATGAAAAAGTCTATAATTTTATATGAACATCTTTTAAATATTGCAATCAAATCAAGTTATTTTTTTTCATTTTGAACTATGCACGTAATGCTACGAACTGATGGAATACTTCTAAAATATGTGGATCCAGATCGGATGTAAAAAGCAAACTTTCCAACGTACTGCTATATTTTTGAACCTGCTCGTGATGCTAGAAATAAATACGTTAGCAAAAAAGTAATAAAAAATTGATTTTTTCTTAAATTACCATTAGGAAAACTTGTTGTAAGCGCCCAATAGTCCAACGGTACCAGTCTGTATCAGCATCCCGTCCATCCGTATCTGAGCGGACTAAGTGTTCAGATAATATCATTATAAATCGTTGAAAAACGATAAGAAAAAGCCTTTTTTGTTCTACGTTTGCCGATTCAAATTGATCCTCCAATTGTTCAACAGCCTACAAAAATAATATAAATATTTAACTGAAAGTCATTATAGTAAATAGTTGTATTCACTATATATGTTATATATATTAAGGGACTAACAATCAAACATATACACATATATAGAAAAGTGATAATGATATTTGAATTACTGAAAGTCAACTAAGAAACTCAAAATATTGCAGAGATATCGACTTATTACCGTAATAAATTATTATTAAAACTATTATCATGAAGTTGCCCAACAGCTGGTACTGCGGCTAGAAGAGTCCTATTGTACCAAGACTTATTACTGTTTTCATACATTCTAGTATAGTATTGATAAAACCACAGGGAAAATATATCGGCGAATCAAATTGCAATTTAAAAACAAACAAAATTTTCGGAAATGCTCTTTGTGTTGTATTTTATTTCATATTATATATTTTATTTCATATTATATATTTTATTTCATATTATATATTTTATTTCATATTATATATTTTATTTCATATTATATATTTAATTTCAGGGACCGTAACAGTTATCATAAAAAAAAATAAAAATCATCTTATAACTGTTATCATTTGCATTTTAAAATAAAACTCAAAAAATAATAATTAAATTTGATTTTTATTATATTCATCAAAAATAATTATTATTATATGCCTTTTATTTTTTTCGCGCAGAAATAACTCTTAAAATTTGCTTCTTATTTTAAAACGCACAAATAACTGGTATACTTGCGTTATATAATATAAAAAGCAAGAGTATCGCGCAAATTCTGCGCGATATTTTTAAAATGAAAATATAAAATGCAATTTTCATACAAGGTAGTTGTTTTTGTAATTCCATAGAAAATGTTTTAAAAGGTTGGTGCAGGTAAAGATTTAGTTCAGTTTTTTGGTTTTGTATGATTCATATTTTGTATTTATATTTGTATTTTGTAGGAGAACAAATTTGTATGCTCGATACTCTTGATTTTTATATTATATAACGCAAATATACCAGTTATTTGTGAGTTTTAAAATAAGAAGCAAAATTTAAGAGTTATTTCTGCGCGAAAAAATAAAAGGCATATAATAATAATTATTTTTGATGAATATAATAAAAATCAAATTTAATTATTATTTTTTGATTTTTATTTTAAAACGCTTATATATAAAAATCATTCATAATATTAAGGATAAAAGTTGTTAGAATGATAACTATTTACTTAAATAAGAGTTTAGACAGCTTTTTGTTGCTGCTTTTTTCCATAAATAATTTTAAAATAACTGTTATTTTCCGTCCCTGTTTAATTTTTAATTATCTTTTCTAATGCAATATTAAATATTTTTTTCTTTTTTGTTTCGTTTTGCTAATAGAGCTACCGTAGTGTAAATATCTTAATTGTTCAATTAGTCATGAAGCGTAAAAATTTTATTAATATTCTTTCGCACTCAGCAAATTATATTTGAAAATCATTTATAACTTAAAATTAAACAAGATAATTATTCTTATTGACCGTCAATCCAGCTGTGGAGATCCGTCAGCAAAATTTGCATTGCCACAATTCAATTATTCCAAAACAAAGTATTGCAAATTGTATTAAATGGCCCACTTTATGTTCGAAATTGTGACCTGTGTAAGCTACCTGTTCTAAACGTGGCATAACAATACGCCAAGACCCACAACATTTGAAGTTTCCGCTTTTCCACAAAGGACTGCTCGAAGTCGACGGCTAAAACGTACAACAGTATCAGACCTCATGTCGTTATAGCAAGCTGTACATATTTATTTAGGCATTTATATTCTGTTGAAGCTATTTGAGCCACTGCACTTAAGCACTTTTACTCTTTCTTAACTCGAGGTATTTTTAAAACCCTTCTTTACGCCTTGACTGGATTATTGTTTATCACTTCATCAGACCAAGCAATAATTAACCTCAGACCTGCATACCTCCCAGAGGAGCCTGTAACCATTCTGAGATTTGATAACGCGGTGTTGGTAAGTCTGTCAGTTTTCACAAATAATTTCAAGGATTTATCCTTTATGTATTTTTGATGGAATCAATCTTGAGGTCCCTGAGGATGTCATTCGTCCTAACGTACCATTGTACTTTGAAAAGTCTTCTCAGAGTCTAGCTTTGTGCAATTTCTAGCTGGTGAATAGTAATGTTTAAAACTTTACTAAACGCTACACAACTATATATAAGTGCTTCCTGTTCTTAGCATTGAGGTTTTAATTTCTAAATAGCGGTTGGAGGTGATGAAGAATTTTGGCACAGCTAATTCTTTTCAGTTGAACATGTTTAAGCCATGTGAATCGTTTGTCCAGCGTGATACCGAGATATTTAACGTTATCCTCCCAATTTATTACTTTTATTGAATTAACTTAAATAATACGTAAATGAATATAAAAAAATTCACAACCAAATACAAATGTTTATATGCTAACAAAGACAGCATTGAAAGATAAAAGAAAAAATTTTAATCAACTAATTGATTTAATATCCATTAAATATTGATAGATTCTGTGGCCTAAATCCTGTTATTTTCATATTTTTTTTTCTGAAATTCGTACCAATCAAAAATGGTGTTAACTGGTGAATGAATTATCATTCATTATCATGATATTTCTTAAACAATATAAATTTCAGTATTTTTCTTTATAAATAATTTGTTCTTATAAAATATATATATAAGTTTGTGATATTATAAAAAAAATGATATTTAATTATTAAATTATGTTAAATATTTTAATTATATATTAATTTTATTAACTCCATCTGAATGCTATGCTAAGGGAAAGTTTGCAATACAGACGTGATGTACTGATGGATTGTGGCGAGTGATTCCTTTTCTTTGTTTTCTTTTTAACGTACCATGCTCTTATACTATGTATATCTGTTTTTAGTATTGATATATATTCTGTTTTCCTTTTTTTTATTACAATTTTTATATTTATTATTTATTTCATTTTTATATTCTTTTTACGATTTTTTCTTTTTTTGTTTATCTGAATTGTTTGAATTTTAAATTTCTTCATCATTATAGCATTATATTAGTTATTATAATCACGTATATTTTTGCACTTTGTTCGAATCGTATTTAAATTTTAATTAAGACAGAAAACTTAATAGTTATTGTCTCAAATAACCTAATTAATCTATCTATCTATTTTATGTACTCTGTATGAGTATCATTGTGTTATAGAAGCATTTCTGTAATAGTGATAAATTAATAAACTCTTAAACTACTAAACTATTAATTTTATAAAATATATTTACATTAAAGATATTTTGGTCTACTTCGTAGACTTCATCTTCAGATGTTAATTAATCTTAAAAGTAATATATATATATATTTACATAAGTTTATTTTACCTCTTCTGTTGGTTTATCTGCGTGAGTTATTGGTTTTTTACGTTTTATTGCATTTTCATCCTCTGAGTCACTTGAAGATGAATCTGCCTTCGATAGTTTCTCCTTTGCATCATTTAACTCGGTTGCTTTAAATGAATTTTAAATACATATCGTTAATATATGCACATAACTGTCGCATACAATATAAAAATTTATAAATATATAACTTACACAGCTTAATTACGTGTTTGTTCATTTTCCGAATTGTTAAATGTAAAATCTCCCAGAGATACATTTTTGTAAATTCACTAGTCATTTCTTTTGAGAATATCCAAGTGGCCACTGCTGAACAGCTCACTATTTGAGTTTTAAGCATTTTGTCAATTATGACGACCATCATTTGCTGGTGATTTTGCCACAATTCGAAAACACTGTGAAGAATGCAAATTTGTGCCTCCTCTGACTCTGCCAATTTCTGCAAAATAATGATATCCATTTAAACATCTACACCAATAAGAATGCTTTAGTGGTACCTTAAATACGTCATGATGTTTCGAAATAGCTGAAAAACTATGAGAAAACGACTTTGATCCCAAATTTAAAAGAGTTTGTACAAAAACATCAATTTTCAACGGGTTAAAAGATGAATCGGATATTTCCTGATCTCTGTTCTCGCCGGGATTCGGAAGCTCTTTAAGTACATTGAAGATTTCTACTGGTGTACACTTTTGTCGCACAGCGACTACAAGCTGATGAGCCACTTTGATGCCAATAACCGATGCTATAAAAGAGAAATATTTGTTTAAATAATCTATAAAAGTTGTCTATCAGATTGAAAGCAGGGGAGCAGAGCAGGGAACGGTTTAACAAAAAGACAAAAACTTCAATTAAAATGGAAAGTCGCATTTTAAAAAGTGCTTTCTAAAACAAACGGCACTTACAACAGTCCATAAAACTGCTTCCTTTCACCCGAAAATACATTATTTCCGAAAATAAAAAAGTTTGGGGGGGTGGTATTATCTCATTTTTATACCGATAAGACTTTTTAAAATATCCTGCTTACTTTTCAACGCACCCAATAATATGCCTAATGTCGTGTACGACTCCGATTACTAGTATTTGAGATATATGGTATGTATATAATATTCTCTCTCTCTGTACACAGTTTATGTATACAGTTAATCTAATAACATTTTCGGCGCTTAGTTTTACTGTGCGTTTTACAAATACAAATAAATGAAAACAAATGAAAACAAATGAAAACAAATGAAAACTTCGCCTAACCATGATTTGATGTGCTAAGCCATTTGTAACACGTAGTTATGTTTCGTAGCAAAATGTCGTTCGTTTTGATGGAGCGTTTGAACGTTTCTCCACAATTTCCTCAGTTTTTGCTAATGGTAACTGCTTGAAGACGCGGTGGCACCGAGTTTCGAACTAACACCACTGATGTGTTAGTACTTAGGCTTTAATTCAGCCTTAATGGTGCTCTCCTCGTTGCGGTTATGACGTGTTTTAGCGTTACTAATGATCGATTCATTTATTCGTTGTTAATATTGTTCAGATATTATAAATGAATGTGTTGTGTAATTGATATAAAATGCTGTAATCAAACTGCAAACGGTGTACGAACTGTGCGAATTCCTGAATTTATAATTAGTTTAAGTGTAAGTATAATAATGATGATTATATGTGGGAACTTATTTTTTCTTTTTCAATTTATAACCATTAAATACATTTTGTATGAAGTTACAAAAACAACTGCCTTACATGCAAAATGCATTTTATATTTTCGCTTTTATATTTTATTTTCAAAAATAAAAGTTATTCTTAGTTTTTATGTTTTTAAGGCAAAAATAACAGTTATTTTTGCGTTTTAAAATAAAAAGCAGAATGTAAGAGTTATTTGTTCGTGAAAAAATAAATGGCACATGATAATAATTATTTTCAATTAATATTTAATATTTAATAATTATTATTTTTTGAGTTTTATTTATGAAAGTTGTTAAAATGGTAACATAACTAAATATGAGTTTAGACAACGTTATTTATTCTTTCCCTGATAATAAGTGCAAATATTTTTAAATACTTATTATTTTAATAAAGTGAGTTAGAATTTTGTTTGTAATTAAATTTAATATAAAAATTAAATTCAAATTAAATAAAATTTTATTTTATGTTAAGGGAAGAAAAATTGCTATACCAAGTTCTCCAAAGACTTTTCTGCAATTGCAAAATGGTAAAAAATGTATTTACTAGTTCGGTAAACGAGTAACGCTAACTCGTGAGCACACCTGATTGTGTCGATTTGTTAAAGACTGCTGTTAAAATCAAATGTGTTTTAATGAATTTGTGAATTATTGTGAAAAGAGATTCTGATATAAATATCAATATTAATGTTGAAGTTAAGTGAAAAATGTTTAAAATTTGACATCATTTAAGAGGTTTCACTATGCTTTAAAAACAATTTTAATTTTTAAAATATATGTTGGAATATTTAATATCAATTAAAAACAAATTTTAAATACTTCCAATACGAAATGCTTAGTATAAGTATATATATAAGAAAGACGGGGACATTGAAAATATAGTAAAAGTGGAACATAAATGTTGGTCAAAGCAAAGGTTTGATCAACGCCTTACTCGACGTGTATTTTGTTGTTGCTGTAAATCGTGATTATTAAATGCATTTTTTAATAGATGATTTGTTTATGAGGTATCGGAGCGGTTTATTGCTGAAGACGGAATTTTATAACTAAAGAATTAAAAAATTTAATTTAAAGAATCCTGTTTTATTCTGTTAATGATGCGATTTTTAATCAACATAAAATTATTTTTAGATAAAATGCTTAATTTACTTTTGAATACATTTTATTTTATTTTATTTTCTCTTATATATAATTTTTTAAAATTAAAAAACAAAAAAAAAAACTAAATTTGCTGAACAAAATTATTGGCACAGCTAACGTAAAAATCAAAAAAATAGATTAAAAAAAATATTTTCAATAACAATTAATATTTAGTGGCCAAATGTTTTGGAATCGAAGAAATCAATTTTTGTGTGGTTTTTGGTGCAAAATATTGCCACTCTTCAGCAGTGCCTCCTTCAGTTCTACTTTGGTTGTTATAATGGGGTTCTCTGAACGTCTATCCAATTCTTCCCACAAATGTTCAATGGGGTTGAGATCTGGAGATTAAGGTGGATGTAGCAATGTGTGTTTTACATGATTAGCGAGCCATAAACGCACATCATAAGCCGTATATTATGGGTCATTATCATGTTGGAAGCTAAATGTGGTTATTGAGGATGTCTATAAATTATTGTTTTTCCATAATGCAGTCATGGATTCCAATTCGCGGAAACCTGCAGCGAACATGTACCTCCATACAAACACTCCTCCACCACAATGTTTTACAGACATAGCAAAAGTTTCTTTTTGCAGTTCGGTATTGGGTTTTCTCCAAACCATTCGCGGCCATCAGATCGAAAGATAGTAAATTTACTTTTATCTGAGAAGATAACATTGTTCCAAAACTCGATTGTTTCGCATAGGCTAGACGTTTTTGCTGGTTTGGCCTTCAAAATTAACGGTTTGCGTTTAGCGTCACGAAAGTTGTAATTAGCCTATTGCAGTGTCCACCTGACCGTTATGGGATGAACTTCCATGTCAAACTCTCGCTTAACCTCAGCGAAGATATTTTTGGGTTGATCTTCACTTTTCTTATTATTATGTTGCGTTCACTCATGGCCACGGTCACTCATGGCTTTAGGTTGGCTTGTGTGCTTTGTACTTTGCCACGATGTCGTCCCCTTGAAACGCTGCGCAATGCTCCAAATAGTATAGCAGCTTCTATCCATCATTTCTCCAATGTCCGCATAAGATTTGCTTTGGTTGTGTAAATATAGAATTACATTGCGCTGATAAACTGAATCACCATGACATTAATAATGTAGAGATAACGGGTCTCTTCCAATAGAAAGTTGACAAATCGATGAAATTATGTTAAAATAGTTCGTTAGAACCTAAGTGTGCCAATAATTTTGTTCAGCAAATTTAGTTTTTTTTTGGTTTTTTAATTTTAAAGAATTAAATATAAGAGAAAATAAAATAAATTTAAAAGTAAATTAAACCCATTTATTAAAAAAATTTTTTGTTGATTAAAAATCGCTTCATTAACAGGATAAAAATAGTGCTAAAGTCCAATTTGCTTGCTGTGCCAATAATTATGTTCGGTACTGTATATAATACATATATAATAAATTCACCAATTCTAAATCATCATCAGAATCACTATTTTGAAGTATACATTGTTGTAGTACTTAGTTCACTTAACAAAATATTTATAATGATTTTTTGTTGCATTTAAAATTTACTGTGTAAGTATTTCCTTTGATTTTACTTATTGTGGATTCTGTTTTAATTAAATTAATAAAATCCAGAGTTTTTAACGAAAGAACGACGGCTATATAATTAATCTACATTAAAATGAAAGAAACAGATCTAGTGTAACAAGAAACCGAAAAAATATTTTAAATTTGATTTTAAATATATGAAAGGATTAAAAGGAATCCTGAATTTAATTTTAAATTCAGAATTAATTTTATAGAACACATTTTACAGTTTCAGTGTAAGAGCACGAAATGAAAACAAAATCTTATTTCAATTCCCGCTTTTCCATCCTTGTGTAAACAATCTTTCCATTTATCAGCTGTTCCACACAGCTGGGTTTGCGCATTACTCTAGGGTCCCAACTTTCACATTAAAATTATAACTTGGCGTTACGCGTTAACAAAGTTTTACTTTTTCATATTTATTGCAAATAACTTGTGGACAATACAATCTAATGATAAAAGAGTTTGGTATGAAATTGGTTTCAAATATCAATTTCATCTATACCACAATGTTGATTTTAAAGAACACACCATTAAAATTCAAATGATCAGTGTTTTTTACCTTCAAGAAAACAATTTTTTTAAGAAAAAACTAAGCACCTAAAGAAACGTACAAGGTTTAAAGCCACTGCTACGCTGAACCAATGTGAACACAATGTGAACACAATGAAGCTAATAAATTTCCCAAAGTCAAAAGCGCTTCTAAGCGTTTTTCATAAGCAGTTTAGACACAACGGCACGGCACGCGCACTTAACTTAACCAAATTCCCAAGTAATCATGACATTTACTTAACTAAAAGCACTTCAGTTATTTTCACGGTATTTGAGAAAATAAACTTTTTTGTTTTCTTAATTATTAAGACATTTTTATAAGCCGAATAATTAGTTACTAATCAGCACCATTCCCCCCAAATAGTTGATCAAATGTCTTAAACTCAAGCGTTTCATTTCAAAGAGGCAAGCAATGTTCTTCATTAACAAAGAGGAGGAAACAACTCTCTATATGGCGGAAAATAATATATATTTACAGTTTAAAGTTTATATTATTTTTACAAAAACGTTTTAAAAACTTTGGAAAAAAAACTAACATTTGAAGTTTCAGCGAAGCCTAACAATTTTGTGCTACCTGAGAAAATACCTACTAGTGCGCTAGTGTATTCGTATATAATTGATAGGAATGGAACACAGTTCTCTACAAATATACTCGTACTTTTAAAGGTTGGTGTTTGTTGGCCGACAGCTGCTTTAGATGCAGCTTTTCACGTAAGTGCATTGCATTGCGAAACTCCTTATGTTTTCATTAAGCAAGCATTTTTGTTGTATTGTTTCACTTGGCTGCCACAAATATAATACAACAAGCGGAAGGCTTTGTAGGCGTAAAGATAGCAGAGCCAACTTCATCGTTGAACGGCCCATAGCCGTAAGCAGTTTCTTTGCATAACTCGAAGATGGCCCGCATTAGTTGGGTTTGTTTACGTGAAGTGTTCAGTTCAGTTTTAACTTTTCGCGACATTTAATTAAAATTCAAAAAATTTACTTTGAAGTAATTTGGAATTCAGTTCAACTAAATTGACTACTCAGAGCCTCTCGATTTATTTATACTAATGCATAAGCTTGAGCGATGGATTACCAGTTTGTGTTTGTGGTGCAAATTTTAATTTCGTTCGTTTTCAATTTAGTATGTTTTTAATAATTCAATATTGTGTTATTCCATTAATTGAAATTTAAAGATTGAGTAACCAACTTGTTAAGTGTAAGATTTAAAAATTTGCTCATTCGATTTGGTTAGAACTTTATATTAATTCTCAAAAACCAATGTGTATCTTATTATTCTTGAATCTCTGAATTGATTGTATATTCTTTTCGCTGCCTCAACGTTATTTATTGACTTTCACTTGTAAAAGGTGATTTTTTAAAAGTTTGATCTTTTTAAGAGAAATAAAGCAAATTGGAATCAAGAAAGGAAATACCGGTCATAAAAATAGCCCTGTTGGAAAGACACTGATAATTAGCCTGTGGTTTTTGGTTCTCCATTCCTTATATTCTTTAGCGGTATGCATTATATTAAAATTAAAGACAAAAGTATAAATATTGTATAATGTATATACATACATTATATATATTGTATTTTTTCTATACAAAGCAAAGTATAAGATCTAAAGTATAATTATAATATAGTGTATTTGCGATTTTGTTTAGGGGAGTAACATTATATTTATAATATTTATTATTAACTGTATTAATTTGTTTGGTCCCGGGCTAACTTGTTCTTTGCCTCATTAAATATCTTGTGGTTGTTATTTAGTTTCTGAGGAATGGGTTCCTGAATTCTGTTGTGTGTCTTCTGTTCTTGTACTTGTTATTTCGATTGATCGTATATATTAATGGGGCTTACTTTCACTTCCTTGTTGTTTATTACAATCTCAATTTGTTTTTGAATTAGAAATGGTTTTCAGTTATTTCTTACTATTGCGGCTTTTTCTTAACATACGTTTTGTTTTTAACTTGACTTGATTCAGGGTATTGTGCCAGAAAATAACGGCACCTTGGTTGCGCCAGTAGGCCATAACCAGTATAAAAAATTGCGTGTTGCAAGAAAGCAGACTTTAAAGGTAGGCGCAATTATTTCGTAAGTCCATTTTTACGATGCAGCAATCTTGGTGCTTGCTATTCATACTGCAGTGCGGTTGGCTTTTCAGAATATTTTTTTACATAAACACTTTTTAAAAGAACACAGCTTACTAAAAAAAAAAGTTTATCACATATTATTATTTCCCACGCGCTATTAAGTGCACAACTTTTTAAGAATAAAACTTTAAAGACGAACTTGATTTGCAAAATAAAATAGAGAGTGTCAAGAATTCTACATTCAGTTAATAGTTGAAACCTTCCGTAATTTCAAAATAGGAAACGCAAGTGATCGTGCCATCAAAGGTAACCAAAATGTTAAATATGTTTCCCTCACTGAATAACAATCACATCGACAAAGATAATGATATTTGCATTAAGGAATAGTCTTTTAATTACAAATTTTTTTTTGAGATTTCCACAAATATGGGGAATCTTGAACAAAGTGATATTAAAATGTATATTCAAACTGGAGCTTTGTCACTGTCATGCCCTCGTAACCAAAGCATGGTTACGAAACTATGCTCTCAGAGTATTGCGCAATGACAATACCCGGACATAATGGTGGCTAATCACTGAAAAAATGTCACCACAGGAAATGTAGATATAATAGAATAGTTGTTACCGAATGAAAAAGTTTTCAGTTGGATTTTTATTTTAGGTAGTTATTATCTACATAAATATCGCCAACGTTTCGAAGTTTAATTGACTTTTTCCTTAGGGCAAATTATTATAACAACTGATTTTGGAACATTTATTTTAGTTTCAAATAATAAACAATAATCAATAAAGATTGTGTCTATTGTCACTGGTCTTTTCTGTTCATGGTTCGGAGAATGTTGTTTTGTACGTAGACGCTCTCTAAAGTTAATCTTTTGTTATTGGTTTTTTGTTTATCTATTATTATCACATTGTATAGGTTTATTCTCTGTTATGTGTAGTGCTAATGCGGTTCTTTATTTACCTATCTTGATGTCAATTTTGTGTTTCTTAGTTCGTGTGCCTAATATCCGTTTCGCGGTTTCAATGTATTTAATGTATCATTTGCAACTTCATCTTCACTAAATTGAATTCTTGTTGTGGGTTCGATGGTGTTGCTGTATTGTAATTAAATGTTATATATGTTTGGTGATTATTTCCTTTGAAATTCTATTTTCACTTAGTTTCGAGATCTGTATCTGGGTTTGTCGGTTTTGGTTTACCGCTATTTGTCGTTTATTTATTAGTAATGTTTATTAGATAGTTGATTTCTTTTAGATACTTATCGACAAAACACTTAGTTTTATAAATTTTTTCGAATTTGGTTTCTTGCGGTGTTTATTTTTTGGTGTTGTGGTTGGTTAGACCAGCAATTTATCATTCTCCAGATATGGTGGGTTTTTTAAACCAGTCAAATTTTAATTTGTTCTTTTCGCTGTGGGTCCTGACTTTAAGGTATGCCAAAGATTTGTTTTGTTCTGTTCCATTTCACAGTAAATTGAAGTTTATGGCGATAAGTGCTTATTTGGTGTAGAATTTTAATTCTTTTATCAGAATTTAAATTTTCTCATTCGAAAATGAAATAAAATACGAAGCACGACACCTTAAGAACTCTCGAAGCGAATTACTTTGTTAATTCTTAAATTTTTTGTAAAACGTTTTACATTTCTACCCCCTTCAGCCGTGCTTAACGTGCTTTTCACAATGATCTTTTTAAGTCAGTATGGAATTTATGAATACGGAATCTAAGTAATCTTAGAAATAGTTTCTAAGAATATAAATTTATTATCATTGGAAGAAATTGCTGAGAGCAATAAAAATGGTTGTTCAAAACTAGAGCTGACTATATAATTATTTATCGGGATCCAGCATTCGAGAACTACTACGTCGAATTGTAAAACGTATGCAACAATATGATAATCTAAGGGTGCAATACCAGAATTACATGTGTATGACCACTTGGTAGCGGTCATTACCACTTCCATTTTATTTTTACGAGTTATGAATTGTGTGTAGCGCAGCGCTATCTTAAAAATTGATACGATTTTGTTTGTTCTGCTTAAATAGAGGAGCATATTACATATCTAAATGAAATAATAAATGAAACATGCCTGGCAATTAATTTATTATAAATAGAAAATTTTTTATTTATTGCATTAATCGTTAGTTTTCAGTTATTTGGTAATTGACTTTTCTTTTTAATTATTATATGATGTGGCGACGAGACCGAGGAGCATATTACATATCTAAATGAAATAATAAATGAAACATGCCTGGCAATTAATTTATTATAAATGGAGCAAATCTTTTAATAATCCTGCACAGCAATCTTTATCTTTTATTTATTCTTTAAATTCACTTTGCTTTTTACTAAGTTTTCGATATAATGGATTGCATAGATGTAAATAAAAATTAAAATAATTTATATCTTATCAATGTCTTGTTTAAGGTTAATCCGGTTAATGGAATTGTGGGTAGAGAATTACTGTTAACTCCAAAACAAGATTTAGAAGTGAATGGAAAAAGTATTTATTATGAGGAAGATACCGACGCAATACGTCGAAACCAAACTACTCGACCATGGGAGCGAACCTTGAAGCATGTAACATTCGTTACACTCTTCACAAACACTGCAACTAATGATTTAGTCAGAAATTCAAGGTAATTTATAAAAGTGTTATATAATTAAAAGATATTTCTACACAAAGCAAATATACTATAATTATTTATTTATATTATAATTTGAAATTATTAAATCATTTTTAATATTTTTATTTTACTTTTAGTAAATTAAAAGAATATGCTGAATTTTTACGATCTCCTTACATAACCCAAAAATCTGATAATGATTACAGATTTGGGGATATCGTTACATTAGCCAGTGGACGACTAGAAGAAATAGAGAATGGTACATTTAGATTTGTAGAAGGAGTTTGTGATTACGATTGTAATTCAGAAAAATTTTTTGCATTATGGCAAGTACAAAAGATACGTCATCGGGACACAAGTAGAAATTTTCGTTATGAAATAAAATTTAGTGTTAGTCCCATGCGAAATACAAAATTAAGTTCTTCGAGAAGAAAGGATGACGATCAAAATTTACATAATAATAATTTGAAATCATTTATACAAAAAGAAGATGATTATCCACAAAACTTTGGCAGAATTATTTACCCAGAAGAAACATCATTCACTGAACGCAGTTTTGACGAAAACACAAACAGGAACTTTCGCCAAGTGACATTACACGATTACCGTACTGTGAATCAGTTGCCACAATCTACTTTTCTACATAGTATTTATCAACCATACCCAAAACCGTTGTCATACTTTGACCGACTTAACATTGGGGAGTTTATCAAAACCTCTCCTAGTAAAGGAGCCACGAAAGTAGAGTTATATCCAAATGTTATGAACATTCCAACTAATGAACGAAGCAACTATCTAATACCAACAACATTTAGGCCTAATTATCAATTAAAATTGCCTAAGCCAGAATATTATAAAACACCACAGGAAATAAGCGAGTCAAAAGTGACCCAATCACTAATAACACATCACTATCATCATCATTTTTATATGCCTGGTAGTTTAGCTGAAGAAAATAATGCAAACAGCGTACGGAATTCTGCAAATTTTTTTAAGAATGAAATCGATAATACTGTTCCTCAGTACCTACACAATTTGTATGAAGTCCTAACGCAAAATCCAAAACAAACAGAACCAACACAAATTATTCCAGTACAAGCACAGCAACTAGCACATGTAACACGAGTGCCAACAAAACAAAACTCGCAAATTTTACAAATGGTTCCAATTAATATTGGCGCTAAAGTTCCATTGTTAATATATCCCGTTACGTTGGGTGAAGACCACACTACACAAGGTGATAAACCATTTAAACAAAGTGAACCTTTAGATAAAATAACTAATCGTTACTCTGAACCAGATCCTTTATATATAAATTTAAATGAACATGATAAAGAATTACAATATTATGAACTCAATGCATCGCAATTAGAACCACCGAGTACTACTGGTTACCTGGATATATCCGGAGATCAAGAACAACTTAATACTGATTTACAAATTAAAAACAAGAAAGCTAATATAAAACCATTTCGGAAAATTCTAGACGCAGAAGTTTCGAATGCTCCACATGTAGAAGAGAGCAAAAAGAATGTCAAACCTATAGTTAATAAAGAGCTGGAAGAATCTACAAAAATGTCAGAACGCAGATCAAGTCAAACAAAGGAATTAGCAGCTAATAAAGGTCTAGAAACAAAGTACAATACGAACACAACTGAACATACAAACGAGCTTATCGAGATTACGAGTGCAATAATTGAAAAGTCTGATTCAAAATATAAACAAGATCAGAAGTTGATATCTTCATCGACCACTGAAACACCATTGCGCACAATAAGTCATAAACCCTTTTTACATATTACAACTACAGAAAAATCGATGGGGAAATGGAAACCCAAGAGGAGAAGCAACTTCAGTAGTAAATACACACCAAAATTACAAAGTGATAACATATCCGAAAATTCTGAACTTAAAAACCAGATTAAAGTATCTATTGAAAAACCACTTGCAAACATTTCCTTGCCTAAAGCTGATCTTCAAAATGGTAAAGAAATATTTGAAGTACTAACACAGAAATCAGTCAGCAAGTCAGTTAGCATCAAGGTTGGAAATAACGGAGAGGAAATTCCTGTTATAGTTGATGATAACGAAAATGAAGTGAAAAAGAACTGAACATTCTGACGGCTTTAATATTTGTACTTTATTTATAATATTATAGTCATAATATTTCAAACCAAAAACTGTTATTGAATTGAATTTATATATATTTTATTTATGACGCAAGTCAATTGTTGTCGTGTCGATATCAATATATTATCAAAGTAGGAGTTCCCCAAGTCTAAAATCCAACAAATATTTATGGCATGCTTTTTTTTCTTGGATTACAGCTTAAATATATTTTTAGTAATGTAACAATCAAAAATCATAATGATCTTGTAGGTAATATTTAAGTTTTAACTATAATCAAAAAAAAAGCAATATCAAACTTACCTCCTTCTTCCGTTGCATATTTATAATTTGCTATTGGTTGTACGGGAATCAGTTTAGCATATCCCTCCGGCATCATTTCAACAATACGTTGATGGTAAGAAAGTCTGTACAAAATGTAATAATTGCGTTAATGACATATTTAAATAAAGACTTGTGAAATTATACCTTAAGCATTTTAACAAAACTTCTTGTATAAATTTTGGACGTGGATGCTCAGAGTCCATTAAAAGGCAACTATCCCACTCATCCCATGACCAAGTGAATTTAAAATTGCTCAAATGATAAGAGAACCAATTAACGAAACGATCAAAGCATGAAGTGTTCATTGAATCAATACGCATAAACAGAATTTCAGTTGCTTGAGCAAGGACTTGCGGTAATGTGGCCGGCTGCAACTTACAAAGTTCTATTAGGATAGATCCATAGCATAAATCAATAAAACGAGGTGTGGGCATATGGAATAATTCAGCAAATATTACTTCCACTATGCAATATTCAAGTGGAATTTTGTTTTTGAAAGGGAATGCCAACAACTGTGCAGCACAGTCTTTTCGTTCGATATGGTAAGTTTCTATTATATGATGCAGATGTTCCTCAATTAAAAATCGTTCAATAGAATGCGACCCTGGTAAATTAGGTCCATCTGGGCAGTCAGTGTAGTCAAACATGCGATAAACTACTGTCGGCATAGGGTATCTATATGATTCATGATGTGGAGGTGGAATTATTTGCGGCAAATTGTGTTGCAATGCTTCACACAAAATTGAATCGAAACTTAAGTAAGGACGAGGTATATGTTTTTCGGCCCAGTTATCTTGACGTAATTTACGTATTTGTGCCCAAAGACAATCCAAATACTCCTCTTGTGGATGGGGAGTGTCTACTGACCATACACGTAGCGCATTATGATGTTTCTTTGAACGTTTGTTGAGATACACTTCAATACGTAAAAGCAATGCTTCTAACGAAGATTCTTTTTTTTCATATAGATCCCTTCCTACCCAAGGTAGAGTAGAAAGCACTGCAAACACAAACCAATCGCGACGTACTTGCGGTGCAGCATCTTCATTGGAGACATCAATCATTGTATCAAGAATTTGTATTAAACTTTGAGCTGATATCACATGACAATTAACCAAGTCTGCCAGAAATCTTAAAGAATATCTAGCAGAGTCCCAACGACATAGTTTTAGAGACTCCTTAAAAGTTTTAACCATGTGATCTACAAATTCTCCACCGAATTTGTAGTTTTTGGCATTGAGGAGGCCTACTAACGTTGTGTATATGGTACATTTTTCAGGCATTTTTACAGCACAATCAGACAATATACGTAAAATTTTTATCCTAAAAGTGCCCAAATCAGCTTCTAGCACTGACACAAGACCTTCTAAATTTGATTCAACCGAAGAGGTTGTGCGCTCTCCAACACGCAATATCAACGATTCTAATCGGTCTTCTATTTCCTGATTTTCAGATACGCGGCGTCGTTTACGATTCCGGTGTTCTAGTACAAAAGAAAATTAGCCAACAAATTTGTACCACAATATTTAAACCTACCGTAACCCTCTTCTTCTCCATCATGTGCACGTCTTCGACTCATTTTAAATACTTTAATTTACTTACGAAGAAACAGTTATCCAATTTTTTACGATAAAGCTGTGACAAGCCACTGAAATTGCTCGCTTTTCTTTTGCTAGTGATGCCATATTAAAATTTTATGAATGTCAGTCAACAGTTTTTAACAAATTTATTTCTACTAATATAAGTGATGCCATATATAATAATGAATGAACACAATCGCTGCAGTAGGTGTGTGTCCGTACTTATGGGGACACTCATTAAGTACAAGTGAGCAAAGTGAAATATACTTTGAAAACTACTGAAATGCCATTAATATACGAGGTAGAAAGTGATTATTATTTAAAATTTTGAATGCAACAACACGCATTCCCTACTATTAAATAGTTTTTACATTATCTTTTTTTATAATATGTTTAATGTTTTAAACAGAAATTAAATTCGGCGCCACTGCTTAACTTACTAAGTAAATTTTATTAACTATACCAATAGCTTCCGTGCTTTTTAACTTAATTAAAAATATAGTAAACAAAACTCAATGTTGCGAAAATGAAGAATACAAAATTGAAAATTATCAAAATTTGACATATTTGACATATGAAACAAAATGTAAACGCTTGTGCCAAGTTAGCAACGTTGGAAAACACAGGGCTATACTAACACCAAATTTTTTAAAAATGATATTTTGTTAATATAAAAAATTAAACTAAAATAAAAGTCATTACTCTTACAGAGTTTTGAAAAGTCTTTCGATTGGTATACAACAAAAAGAAATCTGATGCGGTGTTTTCAATTTATAATGAAAATAAAGATTGCCAAAAAAAAACGTAATAAATCGTGTGGTACAATTTTGAGAAATTTCAAGTCAAAACGCCACATATTCTGTCATTTATTACTGTGAACCCTAGAACATTGAACAATTCTATTAATTTATTTCCATTTCTATCTAGAATTTGATCTTTTGCATTTGTTTGTAACTGCTTGGTTCCCTGAGATAAGGTTGCCACACTAACCCCGAATTTTTGATTGCTGGTTGATCTTAAGAACCATCAACAACAAGGATTTCAACAAATAATTAAGTTGACGTTTTATCTTCAACACAATATTGGATTTGTCTAATCCGCTGAGACAATCGTCAACATAGAAATCATTTTGAATCGCTGAAGCTCCGAGTGGATATTCAACAGTTTACGTGACGATTCTCTCCATGCAATAATGTCTGTGCAGAACACGAACCTTTGACATCTGAAACAAAGTAGATTAGAAAAGAACTCATATTGAATTTGTATGATGTAGTATGTAGTATTGAATTTGTAGTATGATGTAGGATCAGATAATGAGATGTACTTCCCTCAATATCAATCTTTTCCATGTGACCCATGTGTTCATATTCTCTTATGAAGTCCACGTATTATGCGTCTTTTCAAGCGCATAATATAAGGAATTCTCGTTATGAAGGCAAAAGCGAATTTGCCGAAATACGTAGAAAAATAAATAAAATATTAACGGTATAGATAAAAGTTGATATTCTTAAAAAAATAAAACCGACTTTAGCATTTAATCCGTTTATCGCTATTTGATCAGATTCTCCAAGATTTGCTGGATTTTGATTTAAAGGTAGTTTCACTACAAAACGATCCAAATTGATTTGTTGCGCATTGTTCACAAAACGCGATTCGAGCAATTCTTCCTGTGTGTGTCTTTATTATAGATTCTAACTCAAATTCAATTGCCATTCTAAGAAATGTCATGTGACATTCCTATTCTAGGGTTGCGGTAGTTCTATTATCTAAATCGGTCAATATGATTTCTAGTAAGCCTTGGTCGAACATACGACCAACTTACTCACTGCGCCATTCAGGTTTTGGTGGCGCAATTTCGGATACTTCGTTTGATGATTGAGCTGGAAATGGGTGTTGCAACAATGCTTTCGTTAGTTACTTCGACCAATACAGAGTCGCGTTGCAAATCATTAGATGGTGGTTCGGAGAGTCCAAAAGCATCAGCTAAGCACTTTCCATTTACGATAGCTTCGGAAGTAAGTATGTCTGATGATAACTCATTTTCTTGATCTTTTCGGGTACGGAATTGGTTGGCATGAGTACGAATAAGTATACCATTTTGCGAAGATTTTTGTTTTTACAATATGCATGCTGCAAGTCTGGGTCTGTGGAGCCAATTCGTCGTCATTTATTTTTCCTATTACTATCCAGCCAAGTAACACATTTTGCCGTGAAGGAAAACTCCGCAACTAATAAAATATTAATTTATCACTAGCTATAAAGCCTAGGTCAACAGAAGACACAAGTCTGTCTGTACGTACAGAAAAATACTCAGAGAAAACATAAGTTTAGATCACCTGCTTTTATAAGTTTGATTAAAATGTTTAGAGGTCCCACACATTTAAAAGTATTGTATGTTGATTCTGCAATGTCAGTTTTATTCAGTTCTTATATGGAATGTACAACTTTTGGATTTATTCCACAAGCGACTGAAATTGCACTGATGGTACCTATATTTGTTGTCCGTGGTTTTTAAATAAGAATTTCCAACTTCACAGCTCAATATTTCGAAAACTATTACGGTCTATAACCATCGTAATAATACAATGTTTGTTCCAGCGATCACAAGAACCTTTTGTGACCGATTTGGTTACCCCATATGAATATGACGAAATTTGAGAAAATGTCAGTTTTATTCAGTTCTAAACCCAAAATATACAATATGGAATGTTCAACTATTAAATTGATTCCACAAACGACGGAAATTGCACTAGATGGTGCCTATCTTCACAGCAAAAGAACCTTTTGTGACTGACTTAGTTTCTCCATTTATATACATATGAATGTAACGAAATTTAAGGACATTTCAAGTTGGTGTTTATAAACTGAACCACAGCAGACGCAAGTCTGTTTGTACGTACTGAAAAATACCCAGAGTAAACATGAGTTTGATTAAAATATTTAGAGGTTCCCACAAATTTATCAGTATTGTATGTTGATACTGTTATATTCAGTTCTAAACAGTATAATATGGAATGTTCAACTTTTAGATTGATTCCACAAACGACTGAAATTGCACTAGATGGCGCCTATACTTGTTGTTGGTGATTTTCAAATAAGGATTTCTATCTATTACGGTCAATAACCATCGTAAGAATACAAACATCGTAACAGCCAGCAGAAGTACCTTGTTTGACCGACTAAGTTATCCCATTTATATATGAATGTAATGAAATTTAAGGACATGTCAGGATGGTGTTTATAAGCTGAGCAACTTCATATGGTATACAATTATTGGCACTGAGAAAACATGTGTTTGGATCCTCTCATCTTATAGGATTAATTAAAATATTTTAAGGTCCCCACAAATTTATTAGTATTGTATGTTGATACTGCAATGTCAGTTTCAATCAGTTCTAAACCCAAAATATACAACTTTTAGAATGATTCCACAAACGACTGAAATATATGACTTCTATTTTTGTTGTTTGTTATAATCTTATAAAAATTTTTAACTTCACAGCTCGATATTTCGAAGATTATTTCGGTCTATACCCATCGTAACAATGCAATCTTTGTGCGTTATCGTTAGCTAGCGCAACAAAGGCTTAAGCGTTTTTGGTCTGATCTTGGAAACTCAGAGCGTTTGGAGTTCTGCGTTGATAGCCAAAGTGCAATTTGACTAGTAAGAAATCCTGAATTTCACAAAAGAACAAAACACATTGAAGTATGTTATCATTTTATGGCTGTAAGTACAGAAAAATGCTCAGAGAAAACATGAGTTTGAAACTCTTGCTTTTATAAGTTTGTTAAAATGTTTGGAGGTGCCCCTAAATGTACAATACGGGATGTTGAACTTTTTGATTGATTCCACAAACGAATAAAATTGCACTAGATGGCATCTATACTTGTTGTTCGTGAGTTTCATAATAGAATTTCGAACTCTACAGCTCGATATTTCGGGCTATAACCATCGTAACAATATAATGTTTGTCCCAGCGATCACAAGAACCTTTTGTGACCGACTTGGCTACCCCATATGAATGTGACGAAATTTGGGAAAAAGTCAGTTTTATTTAGTTCTAAACCCAAAATATACAATATGGAATGTTCAACTATTAGATTGATTCCACAAACGACGAAAACTGCAATAGATGGCATCTATACTTGTTGCCGGTGATTTTCAAATAAGAATTTCTATCTATTACGGTCAATAACCATCGTAAGAATACAAACATCGTAACAGCCAGCAAACGAACCTTGTTTGACCGACTAAGTTACCCCATTTTTATATGAATGTAACGAAATTTAAGGTCATGTTCGGCTGATATTTATATACTGAACAACAGGAGACACAAGTCTTTGTGTAAGTGCAGGAAAGTGTATGTTGATACCAAAAACATAGAAATATTTCTATGTTTTTGACTGTACTATGACATACAGTAGCAACGATTTCATGAAGAATATTCATAAACACAATAATTGATTAAACAATAATTGATTATGTTTTATATATAAAGTTTTTATTATTATTTTCTTATATCAAATAATAATATGGAATAAAATTATAAACTAACAAAATTAACTAGAACTATTAACTAAATTTATTTACATATTACTTATTTCTATTTAAAATAAAATTATTTATATAAAGGTGAATAATATTATTCATTGTTAAATTTTCTAATCATTCATAAATATTAGACTAATATTTTTACATAAATTTAAATTTTTACAATTAAAAAAGTTATAATAAACAGCATAAAAAAAGAAATGAAAAAAATGTATATAGTGACAATTGGTTTGTGGAGCCGATGTGCGGGAGCCATCGCAAAATTTTGTTGGACTTTATAATAAAAGTTCTATTATATAAGAACTCAAAGTGGCTACTAAAAAGCCAAGATAATGCAAAATTTAAAAATAAATTTAAAAAATTTAAATTTATGTAAAAATATTAGTCTAATAATATTTATGAATAATTAGCAAATTTAATAATGAATAATATTATTCACCCTTATAT